GCGTAGTTTTGAGTTTGTTGCTGATTTCTGCTATATTTCGAGGCAAATCCGCTCCTATTCTCATCAGTTCTGTTCGGCTATAGTTCACACGCATAAATCGTGCGGAGTCAGGCACAGAGTCAATATCAAAACTTCTAAAAACTGGGATGGTACCGGGAGCCTGTGAAGCTGCAACTGCTCTGAGCACGGCCATCTTGGCAAGATTATCTTTTTAGCATTGTTATTTTAGTGATTAGTATGTTCTTGTTAGCCTAGTTTATGTGTTCACTATGTGTTAGTTCATTCAGTAGTAACCATGAGTGAGTGAGCTCATTGTCATGAAGACCTGTGGGGTCTGTGTGTGTTGAACAGTAAGATAAAGTCTATAAAACACCATCTGGTGATTGATTCTTGATCTATGTAGGGTAACATATATCTGTGATATATTATCCATAAATTAAACGGATTCATTCATTTTTCTGGACTGAATAATATCGTGCATTGAAATTAATAAATGTAACGTGAGACGTTAATTTTCTTTGACCCATCAAATGAATGCGGTCATTTATTAACAGAATCAAAGTTTAACATCAAACATTTACATTAATTTGGCAAATTGATTTTAACAACAACATGGCTTAGTTAATTAGCAAGTTTTACAAGGAGGAAACCATACGGCCATGATTTCCCCATGTGAAGCATTACAACAGACATTTCTGAAAATTTCTGGATTAATTTCTAGCAAGATAGAAGAGTTAAAGATGGAAAATGAAGTTTATCTTGAGAGAGATGGGTGAGGGAATTTGTCTGTTATAACCAGAACAACACGCTCCTTCTGGACCCAGCTTAACCAACGGTAAACTTTGCGGTTGAAGATCGACTCGTTTCTTTGCAGACGATAGTTCGGCCTCGGCGTAGAGTTCTCTTCAAACGCTTTCCAGCGTCTCCGTAAGGATAGTAGGGAACCGTTCGGAGTCGTGAGATCATCCCAGAACAGACATTTCATAGTTCCTCTGAACTTCTCTCGTCCAGCTTAGTTGCAGTTGTTCTCCAACATTCTGCATTCCAGCATTCTGAACTCTGCTGCTCTCGGAACTAACTCACAGCATTCTCTCAGCGTTCTTCTCCCAGCGTTCTTGCTTGAACTAGGAAGTGTTGAACCCTTTAAGGAGTTCTGTTTCCGGTTCATTTTGAGAACTTCCTGATTGGTCGATTGACCGAACAGGGGTGTGTTTTAGTGATGTAAGAGGTTATTGAAAGTCAAGGGAAAAAGATTAGATTGTTTAAGAACAGACAGAAGATGTTATGAAGAACTCAGACTTCGTGGAGTCAATTCTCTAATATCTTTCTGTAAAAGTTAAACATGACATTTCTTTTCCAGTAAACTTGCAGTTGACCGAAACTTGACCTTTGACCAACATCACAACTTGCTCATTTCAGACAGAAGATCAAGAAGATGAATCATTACTCTGTAACACATTCTAACTTGATTTCTACTTTGAATGAGGATTAAAAATCACTAATACTGTTTCACAGTTGATTTAAAATGAGTAGTTCACTTCAACATTTGAAAATGGTTTGAACTAAACACACTTTGATTATCAAAACATTTGTAAAATAGTAATGATAATAGAAAAGAGAGTGTTCTTTCAATTGATCAGTGCAGGACACACTTAGAAAGTCTCTAGATGAACTTAATTTTGTGTTTCTGGACTCAAATCAATGAAATACAGTTCTTGTCCCGGGAAGGCCCTCAAGGCCAGATTTGACCTGAGGCTTAGTTCACTACATCTACAACAAGAGCTCCACATGTCTCTCAGTAGCTGTGTGCTGCCACTCATGTTACAACGTGAACACCCGCAGCTTATGCACAAGCGCAGCTTATATATATGTACAAAATTGTATTTTCCCCCTAAATTTAGTGTGTGTGGTCCATGGTCAGGTGTGCTCTATAGTCCGGAAATGACGGTAGTCTTATAAATTAGGCAATCAATAAGTGCATGTTAATCAGTGAGTGTAGGTTAGTGAAGTTTTTTATAGCCTAGTCTTATTTTATTTAGTCTTGGTTGATCTTAAAATGATACTAGAATCAATATTTAAAAATCAGAGCCATTAAGAAGTCGATTTAAACAAAAAAGGACTGAAATTCAAATCAAAAGTGAACACAAAATCATTAAATCAAAAGGAGACAGGAGTACAGACTGTAAATTAGTCTTCCGAGGCTCAATGGGAACTAAACTGTATAAATAAAGGTCTAATAAGAATAATCAATCAACCTTTAGTTAGACAGGTAAATCCCATTGAGCCTCGAGGACTCATTTACGAGAGACCTGATTTCAACAAAGAAAGATGACAACAATGGACAACAGCAACAACAATAAACAATTATAAAAAGTCATAATACAGGTTTTTTTTTTGTATTTTTTTTTTACAAATAGGATGGCTAAAAGGAAAAGGTAACAAAAAAACAGCTAGATTCTAAGGCGAATGTAGAAAACTAAAAACAGGAACATGTCTGCATTGGTCCCTGCCAGGAGTCCAACAGATTCTTAAAGCCACTTAGAGAGGTCAAGGTCGAGAGCTTGAAATCTTTTTGTAAGATATTCCAGGAAACAGGAGCGGAGTAGGAGAAGGCCCTTTTGCCTAGTTCAGTCCTCATTGAGGGAACACTGCAGGTAATAATGTCCTGAGAGCGCACACTGTAGCTGCACTCACGCAGGGACATGTAGGAGGAGATGTAAGAAGGTAGCACACCAAGAAGTGATTTAAAGATGAAAATGTACCAGTGAGAGAGTCTGCGTGAAGTTAACGATGTCCAGTTAACCAGTGAATGCAGGGTGCAGTGGTGGGTACGATAATCACAGCCAGTTATGAATCTTAGTGCACCATGATAGACAGCATCCAACATCTGCAGCATTCTTGTAGGAGCGTTCATGTAAATAATGTCACCATAATCAAGGGAAGAAAAGTCACAGATACGAGGCGTTTTCTAGCATTCAGGGTTAGACAGGATTTGTTTCTGAAAAAGAAACCCAGTTTAACTTTCAGTTTCTTTACCAAGTTTTCCACATGGAGCTTAAAAGAGAGATGTGAGTTGACCAAGATACCCAAATATTTATAGGAATCAACAAACTCAATGGGGAGGAAGAACTGCTGGGACCAACTTCCTATTTGAAAAAAGCATCCCTTTGGTTTTGTCGGCATTTAGGACAAGTTTGAGGCGGAACAAATCAGTCTGGATGTAGGTGAATGCAGAATTCAAAAGCTGGAAAGCCTTAGCAACAGTTTTAGCTCGACAATAAACAACTGTGTCATCAGCATAGAAATGTATGAATGCATTAGGGATGTTTTTACCTACATTATGTATGTAGATTGTAAAGAAGGTGGGTCCTAAGACTGAGCCTTGTGGTACACCATTGTTGACTGTTAAATAACTGGAGGAAGTACCATTATGTTGAACACATTGCCTCCGGTCTGAAAGATGGTTAGAGAACCAACCAATGGTGTGATCTGAGAAACCAATTTCTGAGAGTTTATGACACAAGATGTTATGATCCACAGTGTCAAAAGCTTTAGACAGGTCTAAGAAAAGTGCAGCACAATAATCCTTAGCATCCAGTGCTTCAACAACGTCATTAAGAACCTTCAGTGAAGCAGTGGTTGTGCTGTGTTGTTTCCTGAAACCAGACTGATGTGGAGGTAAGATGTTAAATGAGTCCAGGTAATTTTTGATTTGAGAGTTTATCCGTTTTTCTAGAATCTTGGCTAAAATGCAGAGTTTAGAGATTGGTCGATAGTTGTTCAGTGAGGTGGGGTCACCTCCCTTCAGCAAAGGAAGAACAAAGGCTGTTTTCCAAGTGTCTGGGATGGAGTTTTGTCTTATGGAGAGATTGAAGATGTGGGTCACAGGGACTGTGATGATATGAGCAGCCAGCCTTAAGAAGTAAGGTTCATCTGGACCTGCAGATTTTTTAGGGTCAAGATCTTTTAACAGTTTATTAACCTCACTGACTGAGAATGGAGAAAAAGAGAAGCTGTGATTAACTGAGGATTGATTTATAGGAGGGATTTGATTTGTAGAAGTTTGGTTATTAGGGGAAATGGCTGATTTTCTGTTAGTAACTGTATCAAATAAAGAACTAGAAGCAACAAAATGTTTGTTGAAACAGTTCAGGATCTCGTGCTTATTTGACACAGGAACAGAGTTAACGAGAAGTTGTGATGGGAGGTCAGATGATTGGGGGGTGCCTGAGAGAGATTTGATGGTTTTCCAGAATCTGTTAGGGTCATTTAGATTTTTGGAGGTCTGAGATAAGAAATAGTTGCGTTTTGCTGCTTTGACAGCAGTTGTGCATTTATTCCTCATCTGTCGAAAACTCAACCAATCAGTGTCTGAGTCAGATTTTCTCGCTGCAGCCCAAAGATGGTCTCTCCTGTGCAGGAGGTCAGCTAGCTCTGGAGTAAACCAGGGGCTGTCTCGTCCCTTTATTCTGAACTGACGAAAAGGAGCATGTTTGTTCACGAAAAAAATGAAACTATTATGAAAATAGTTCCAAGCGGAGTTCACGTCATCAGTTAACAGAATATGATGCCAGTCAAAGTGAGACAGATCCCAGAGGAATGACTGTTCACAAAAAGGTTTCAGATCCATTTTTTGAATTAATCTGGGCTTAGAAGGTGGAAGTTTAATATCTCTCAAAGCAGCTGTCACACAATGATCACTCAAAATATCAGCGAATACACCTGTACCAGGGAATTTGTGAGGCATATTAGTTAGAAATAGGTCTAAGATGGAGGATTTTTCAGGATAATAATGCAGTTATATGCCCCTCAAAAAACTATCATACAACAATCTATAGCAATGGCCCAGCCAAGCAAAGACCTTGTATAACGTGATCTTGATTTGTGACCTTGACCTCAAAGCTGGGGTGATGAAAAGTATACGTAACAGTCCTCCTTCAACAGCGTAAAAGAAGGAATAATCATCAGGTTCTGACATTCACCTGGCAAGGGAAACTCACCTGGCAAGGGAAACTCTCATCCTCCACCCTCCCGAGAACCTTTTGGTTGGCCTGTTCTGCATCTCGGGGGTAAATGACAGACCAGCCAGGATTCTTCTGGCCTTGGCTTCAGCTGCTGCAGCGCCAATTGCTCTCAGCTCTTCGTAAACCTAACAAAAAGGAGAACTGATGAAACAGCATGCAGTCCGGTGATCAGATTTACTGCTAACAAACAAAAACACTATGAATTATACTGTACTATACTATATTATACGATATACAAAAATATCCAATTTATTTTTTATCCAAGAATAACATTTATGAAGAGTTTCAATCTGGTTATCGCCCCCACCATTGCACCGAAACAGCTCTAATAAAAATAACAAATGACCTTCTTCTTGTTGCTGACTCTGCTCTTCTGTCTATCCTTATTTTACTGGATCTAAGTTCTGCCTTGGACACAATCTGTCATTCTATCCTTCTCAACAGACTAACCTCCATTGGCATCTCAGGTACTCCGTTAGACTGGTTCAAATCATATCTCTCTGACCGCACTCAATTCATTCAGCTCAAATCCTTTCGTTCCCAGTCTTCCCCCGTCTCCACAGGTGTCCCCCAAGGCTCTGTCCTCGGACCCATCCTCGTCATCATTTACCTCCTTCCTCTAGGTCACATCTTCTGTAAATTTGATGTCCATTTTCACTGTTATGCTGATGACACGCAGCTCTACTTGTCAACAAAACCAAACTCCACCCACCCTCCCTCCCTCCTCACCGACTGTCTCAATGAGCTAAATCACTGGTTTTCTAACAATTTCCTACAACTAAACAATAACAAAATAGAAATCATTCTTGTCGGTACCAAAAACTCTCTTTCAAAATCAGAAAATCTTCTCATCCCCCTTAACAACTCTCTGCTATTCCCCTCGGCTCAGGTCAAGAGTCTTGGTGTCATCCTCGACACCACTTTCTCCTTCACTTCACACAACAATGTCACTCGGTCTGCCTATTTCCATCTCCGAAATATTAACCGTCTCCGCCCTTCTCTCACACCCCGCTCCACAGCCATCCTTGTTCACAGTCTTGTGACTTCTCGGATTGACTACTGCAACTCCCTTCTTTATGGCCTCCCCAACAAATCTCTCCAGAAGCTGCAATTGGTCCAGAACTCAGCTGCCCGTGTCATAACTCAAACCTCCTCCTATAACCACATCACTCCAGTCCTGCAGCAGCTCCAATGGCTCCCGGTTAAATCATGCATCATCTTCCAAATGCTTCTCCTCACTTTCAAAGCTATCCACAACCTTGCCCCTCCGTACCTATCTGACCTCTTACACATCTCCATCCCCTCTCGCTCTCTCAGATCCTCCTCTTCACTACACCTCCATGTACCCTCTGCCCGCCTCTCCACTATGGGGAGCAGGGCCTTCACCTGCTCTGCCCCTCATCTTTGGAACTCTCTATCCCCTGACTTAAGAAACACCACCTCTCTTTCTCTATTCAAGATTGCTCTGAAAACGCATCTCTTTAGACTCGCTTATCCTTAACTTTGCTGTATTTTATATTCTTTATGCATTTTATATTCTGTATGTATTTTATATTATTTATGTATTTTATTCCTGTTGATCTTTGTTCTTACTGTAAAGTGTCCTTGGGTGTCATGAAAGGCGCTTTTTAAATAAAATTATTATTATTATCATTATTATACTAACAGTCCCTGTTCACCCATGAAGACTGACTGGACACTCCAAATGATTGACATTAATGAGGGAAAAAACACCTTTAAGTATTGATATCCACCACCAAGCAAGAGCCATCATGAAGACCAAGGAACTCTCCTGAGTTCAGAGACAAAATATCGGAAAGATCAAGGTTGGTTTATAAGAAATATACTAGAAGCTGAGTATTCATTCCACACAGCTCCATTAAATACATAATTAGGAAACAGAAAGATGATGGCACCACAGAAAACCTGCAGAGATCATCCACCTAAACTCACTGAGCAGGTCAGGTGGGCATTAAGGAGACAAAAAAAACCCAAAAAGACCATGATAGAGCTGAGCAGTTCTTCTGTCACGATCAGTCCTGGGCTGCACAAAGATTCTGGAAGATTCCAGCAAGGGGTCCAGGAAAAGTAGCCAGAAAAAAATAAATTTTCTAAAGCTGATATGATTGACATTTTTTCATAAATGTTTGGAAGAAGTTGCTGTGGTCAGATGAGATCAAACTCAAAGTTTTAAGACATCAAGGACAACACCAGGTCTGAGAGCATCATCTCCACAGTGAAGTATGGTGATAGTAGAATCGTGTTGTGGGCATGTTTTTATCAGCAGAAGTCTACTTTAAAATAAACTAGAGAAAATGTATTTCGTAAGAAAACGTAACATGAATCCTTGTTGCTGAAGGGTTTTGTTGAAAAGGCTACTTATGGGACAGATCTGGTTGGCAGGCCGCAGACTGATGAAGTCTTCTGGATGGAAGACGCAACGTTTCTCCCTTAAAGAAACTGGTCCAGATGAAATGATTTAACCTTTTTTTATTATCTACTTGGATGATTGGGCCTACAATTTTTTTTTTTTTTTTTGCTGAAAGCTGTTAAAGAAGCTAACACTTACTTGAAAAACATAAATAGCTGAAAAGTAGCAAAAAGAAAATGAAAGGAGCACAAAAAATTGAAATAATCAAAGTGGCTGAAAGTAGATGGAAAGCACTGAAATTAGAAAAGAAAGCTAAAAGGAACACAAAACAATATTTAGAAGCTTAAAGCACAAAAAATTAAAATGTGCAAAAAGATGAATAGAGTACATACAAGATGAAGGTAGCTGAAAAGTAGCCAAAAAGCTTAAATTAACAGAAAAAATAGCTTGAACGTAGCCTAGATAGCAGAAAAAGCTAAAATTGGCAACAAAAAGCTGAAATTAGCAGAAAAAGTTAAAGCAGAGCTTAAAGGACTGAAAGCACAAAAAGCTGAAGTTAGAAAAAAGAAGCTGAAGCAAAACATGAATGAAAAAAATGTTTCAGTCTTCCAGAGGTCCACAATGACCCATAATTCATCCATCCATCCATTATCTTTACCCGTTTATTCCATTTTGGGTCACTGGTGCCCATGTCCAGCAATCACTGTGCGAGGGGCGGGGTACACCCTGGACGGGTCGCAAGTCCATGACAGGGCCACATAGAGACAAATGAGACAAACAAACATTCACTCTCCCACTCACACCTAGGGACAATTTAGAGTTACCAATCAGCCTAACATGCATGTTTTTGGCCTGTGGGAGGAAACCGGAGTACCCGGAGAAAACCCACGCATGCACGGAGAGAACATGCAAACTCCACCCAGAAGGCCCCTGGACCGGGGTTTGAACCAGGGACCTGTTCGCTGAGAGGCAGCAGCTCTACCAGTTGCGCCACCGTGCTGCCCACCCATAATTCAATTCAAAAACACTTTATTAATCCCAAAGGGAAATGATTTGTTGTTGTAACTCGTTATCCTCATTTCATTGAGATGTTATAGATGCTGATGACTGTAGGCAGGAAGGATCTCTTGTAAATCTAAAAAAGTTAAATCTGGTCCTCTGGACATTCAAAAAAACCCAAAACAAAGCAAAACAACAAAAAATGTAGAAACGTTTCGTCTCTCGTCCGAGAGACTTCTTCAGTCTGAGGTGCTGTATTCAGCTCAGTCTCTTAAATAGCACCTTCTCAGAGTGGATCAACCAGTTTTGCTGCTGACAACCAAAACCAGCTGATCACATGCTCAAGAAGGACCATCAGCCTAACAATGGATCATTAGCACACTGATGGCTGTTTACTGTTCACAGAGGGCTGAGTGATACTAGCAATCACAGCATTGTAAGAGGGGGACAATTGAACACGGAGGCCTCCACCCCTGTTTAATGATGGACGGTTTCTTTTCACAAAGATGGCCTCCTTTACTCCTCTCTCAAACCATCGTTCCTCTCTATCCAGGATCCTGGATACGCATCATAACAAATGTCCAATACTAAAAAAAGTTTCAGTAAAAATCCTTCCAGCTGCACAGCATCTGATACCAGAGGAAACAATCATCCAGAAAATGTGATTTACATCCAGAAAAAGAGGAATTAAAGTTTCCAAAAGCAAAATCTCTGAATGAAAGTAACAGAGCTGCTCCAACATGCAGCCACCTTGAGCGGCGCAATTCACTATAATATAAATATAAATATAACTATAACTAAAGAATCTCTTTGAATTGAGAAAGCTCCTCGGATGAGGAGCGAAACGTCTTCTGTTACAAATAAAGTCCAGTTGTTTTTGTATTGAACGCTTTTTGAATTCATCATGTCCTGGATGACTGAGAATTTTCACCAGCATAGCTTTAGGCAAGTACACACGAGCTGTGATTGGTTGAGAACCGCTGTTTGGGTCGTTCTGATTCGCTGAGAAGCTGGTGACATATCTTGTACATCCTCTCACTCTGGCGTCAGTGCATAAAAGCGTAGATATAAACACTAGATGCCTCATTGGCTGCTGCAGCGCAGGATTTTCGGCCGCCATCTTGAAACGGTCGTCCTTATTTGGTTAAAGCAGAAGATGTTTCAGCACTTCGCAGCTTCTTTCTGTTCTAATCGACGGACTGTTGATGTCAGGTCTCGGGGGAGAACTTTTCACAAGTAAGATGAACATATTATTGTTAGTATTTTGTGAATAGAATATTACAGTACTATATTTATGTCCACCAGCTGATGTGATGTTCAGTGTAACACGGTGTTCAGCTGCAATGAAGCTGACTGAGATCTGATGACAGGAATATTTTTCTAACAAGCAAACTCAATATTTCAGTAGCTTTGGTTCATTATCAAGAGATATGTATCATAATTGGAGTTTTGTTTAAGTTCTAGGAAATAAAAAAATAAAACTAGGGAGAATATAGGAAATAGAAAATAAGCTTGACCTCCTCTGTACAATGTTTTTGTGTAGACACAAATCTCCTTTTTTCATTTTGAAGGTTTCCCAAAGAACAAGATGTGAGGAAGAGGAGGAAGTATCTTTGAGGAGGATTCATCTGAGCAGTGAGGATTTTAAACTGGAGGATTTTGATCAAACTGATCAAACTGTCCGACTGAGAGATGGTGTGGTACCATCGGTTCACCTTCAAAGAGTAGGATCATCATTATAAGTTCATTAGAGTT